TTTTAAATTACAGGATTTGAGAAGCGTGAAACAAAATTAGCAGGCCCAGCTTGGAAGTAAAGCAGAAACATCTGTATGTATGCATATGGTATAAGTAAAACATCTGTATGTCATTTATTAAATTTTGTAACTTATTTATAAGTACATATGTATCAAAATATTGTTGGCAATGTATATACCAAATGACTTGTTGTGATTTAATAAAAATAAAATTAATATTTTTAACGTGAAGAAAAAACCTTTTAGGATTTAATTTAACATGCGCATATTCAATTATCAAACGATCGTTTTTAAAAGCGATTTGAAAATGTGCGTATCAAAAACAAAAACATGAATTTTGGAAATCGAATCGAAAATTTACGTTCTCAAAATTTAAATAAATATCGTAGGTGCAGAACCTGGGTCAAAACGTTTTTAAATGTAAAACGTTACATGCGAATTTGAAAACGAAAGTTTCTCTGTGTATGTGTATGCATTTCTACGCTCTTATATTTACATAGTATGTGTGTACACATCTGCAGTTTACCTACCAGCATAAACAAATTATTCTATTCTCAGTTTGTTTACACAGCTCTTAGGGACCAACTTTATTTGAAACTTTCACACAAATGCATATAATCTATAGTATCCACCTCAATCAATATGCGTAGTGAGTATTACTTAGCTTGCTTGCTTGCGAACTTTTTATCGAAGTCCTAAGCTTGATAAGCAACACAATGAATGTATGTAAATATGAAAGCATATGGACACATTTCGAATGCAACTATATATAGTTAGACCGATTGTCCATACACAGAGTCAACGACGTCAAACTTACTTTATCTATTAGTTGCAACTAAACCAGTTAAATATTGGCAGGCAACAACATTGGTAAAGTGTACACATGCTACACGCACACAAACGTGCAAAGATCGAATAGGAAAACTACATATCTATCAACCTATCGATAGCAAACACAATGGCATGTACTAAATGCCATAGTAAATATGCAGTTTAATGGAAATAAATTGGAAAAATTGCACAGGTCATTTGCACTGGCATTTCAATAAAATACGAGCAAAATAAATAAGAAAAAGGACATATGCATAATACTACAGGTGCATAATACTACAAACATATATATGTGTGCACGCAAAAGCAAACACACTGCTATAGACGCGCTCTTTTATTTGTATTTGGAATACATACTAGCATTTGTTTGTTTGTGCATGAGTATTAGCTGTGCACATACACTATTATTTGCACCTCACTCAAATGCACTATATGTATATTTCACAAGCTTGCTGCATGCCTGCCTCGGCACAAGCTTTTTAATATGCAGCGCATTTTGCTCAGAAAGTGTATAAATTTGCATTTTTCATTGCATTGCATGCTGGTTCTTTTTATTGAAAATTAAAATCTGTTTCGGAATGAATTTCACAGAAATTCGGCAGTCTTTGGCATTGCGTGTAGTAAATACATACATACATATGTACAATTGTATGTATGCATTCGAAGAAATTTTTACAATTAATCTGTCGAAATGAATTTAAAACATTCGTTGTCAGTGATAAAAATTTATGACTAGCAAAATGTTTGCCTAGGAAATATAGTTAGATTATTTGCAATAAAATATTGATGAAAAAGAGTTGAAAAGATGAAATCTATAAATCGAGCGTTTTGAAAGACTTTTAACAAGAACCAATTTGAAGTTAATGAACGCTGAAGTATAAAGAGCATTTAAAACCTTCATATATTACAAGTATGCTGTTCTTTAATCGACTTAACAATTGCAAAAGCCTTATATATGTAAAGCAAAATGCAGTCCGTCCTTTCGTAACCATTGAAGATGCATCTGCCGTTATAAAAAATGTTGATACCATCATTCTGGAGCAGTGATTTTCGTTTTATAACAACATATCGTCGTTGCATACGAAGAAAAACGCACGAGTATTTTGACGGCGATAAAGGACGGGTAAAAGACGACGAAAGACGCGCGATAAAAATAGGAGTGGCCCGAGCGAATATTGAAACAAATCATCATTACATCACAAATTCGAGGAACAGCTCTGCCAAGCACTTTGCAAAGGTGTGAGTCGCAAAATATTACATTACATTAGGTTCTTTCCCGTACAGCCCGGAACGGATCCGGTATTTAGAGAGCGAAAAATTTGCTCTAAAAAATGGGAACAATATCGAGAAGTACGGGAACGCATCTCAGCTGCCGATTCAAAAAGGCCCTATCTCAGCACATTGTCAATATATTTTCAAGCGAGAGCGGGCGTTTATGCGTTTATGTTACCGAATTCGGAGATAGGGTGTTCTTCAACAAAATTCAGAGGTGTTTTTCAATAAATTGTGAAATAGGGCATTCTGAAAAGTTTTTTGAGATAGGGCACTTTCGAAGTGGCTGCCGACCTATGTAGGTCGGTCTTCCATTCAGCAGTCGATATATAAGTTGGCAGATGTAGGGGAATCAACAGTACATAAACAAGTAGTAACAAAAATCCGCACAGACTTTTGATTTGACCCAAAATTTGTATGTATATTACATACACATTAGATTGTCCCAAAACACGAAAGTTCTTTTTTGTAATTTTTGGGTTGTCTTTGGGTTGTTGGCGTGTTTTGTTAATTTGGTTATTTTTCTTCGGTATAATACGGTATTACTATACTCCCTGCTGTATTACGGCATAATATTTAGTAAAACTGCATTTTTGGTTTTTTTATCAGGTACTCAGGATTTTTTCCAAAGGACCATATATTATAATATATATTTTCAAAAGGTTACACAATATATGGATATATGGTTATCAATTGAAAGAAGAATTCAAAACAAAATAAACTGTAAATTTGTTTTCAATTGTCCTTTTGGCACATGTCAAAAATGGCCTTTAAAAATATTATCCTTCAAGATTTTTAATTTTGAATGCATTTTAAAGAATCTTGTTTCAGTTATATAAGTTAATTATATAAGGATATAACAGGTAAGAAGTTTCAAAGGATATTCTTCAAAAAAAATTCAATCATGCCAACATATTAAACATTTTGAGATGGAGATTTACAAGAAATGCGTTCTAATATGGTAAACATATGGAATTCCCGCATTTCCCTAGTCTTCAATGACGATTTGGTAGTCTTGATTCAAGTTAACTAATGGCCTTCTTCACAAACGATAAAGTAGGCTTAATAACTTTATAAAATGACGTTTTCATAATAATAGTTTGGCGCTTACACATATGTTAGTGTTTGGCCGAGCTTCTCCCCCGATTTGTGGCGTGCGCCTTGATGTTGTCACACAAAGCGGAGGGATCTACAGTTTAACGCCGACTCCGATTGGCGATTGTATTTTTATGAGAAGCTATTTTTCAGGCAGAAATACACTCGGATGTTTGCCATTGCCTGCCGAGGGGCGATGTTGCTTTGACCAGGGCTTGAACCCAGGCGTTGCGGAGTGGAAGCGCGCACTGCTTACCACTACACCACAGCGGCCGACGGCGTTTTCATACATTTTCAATTTATAGAACTTTTTGAAAGCTACTTAATTTTTTATGAATACGGCTAAAAATTTTTAACTAAAAGTCGGAACGGGTTATCGTTCTCCTAAGGTCATAAGACTTCATATAGATATATGAAATTTAGGCTAAAAGGCACAAACACAGGGGGTATGCATATGAAAATTTGGAAAAAAAAAACAATATATTCTAGGGACAGTCTAATGTACATATACCACCGTGCGACACTAAATTTCACACACAAAAAATGAATATATTCGCGAAAATATGGGAAAATATTGTAAAACTGCGTACCTAGTTTTTCTCACCGACGTCAGAATTTTTTCTTAAAGGACTTTAAAGTTCAAAAAATTATTTTAAAAATTCAGTGCAACAAAAAACTACAAAAAGGTATCATATAAAAGAATTTTTTTTTTTGGTGCGTAAGGACGATTGGTTATGGAAAATTTCCTTTACAAATTTTTGTTCTTAAATATCCTTGAAAATTCGCAATATTTATTTTTGAAAAATGTATTGTTTGAGGACTAATATACATATGACCTCATCATCGAAGTTAGTCCAGCAAACGTTATTAACTTAAAAAGATAAAATTAATTAAAAGCGCATTTTCAATACTCATTCGTCCTGGTAAACCGAAAAGTTTTATTGTTTTTAAATTCTATAGAATTTTCTCTCTCATTTGGTAACCATATTGTTATTCTACATTGCACATTTTTTTAAAATATTTTTTTGAACTAATCATACCTTTCAATTTCAAAGTCCTTAAAAAAAATCTTGACTCCAGAGTGAAAAACTAAAAACGCAGTTTTACTATATTTGGCCCATAGTTTCTAGAGTATATCGATTCTTTCGTGTGTTTTGAATTTCTTTTTGTTTTTGTCGCACGGTGTAAAAATACATGTGATTTCAAAAAAATATAGATTCAGTACCGAACTTGTTATGAAATACCACAATAGCACACTACAAAAAATAAAAACAATAAAACATTTGCATAACTATCGCCGTTGCATAAATTTTTTATTGAACGTTTCATTAATAAATTCAGTGACAATAAATACCTAAGGGACCTTTTGACGCATAGCTTTTGATTTAAGCATCAAATAAGATAATCAACGCTGTTGAAGTATTTACAATGAATTGCTGTTTAAATTAAAAAAAAATTATATTTGCGAGTATGCGAGTATTGTATAATGAATGAATGCTAGGTGGTATTTACGAAAAAATTAGTTAATTATGAATGTAGTCATTGCAATAATAATAAATGATTCTTTCACAAGCACTTTTCGATTTTCAATGAATAATTTCATGTGAATAAATGTGCTTTATAACAGAGTTAGGTTTTTGCTATATACATATGTATTATTCTTATTTTCCTCTCATCCAACGCAATCACTTACAATTTATGGTAAATGTTCATTATACATATGCCCCAATTTATTTTATTTATATGCTGTAAAGTAAAATAAATTGTTGTGGCTAAAGTGGTTTTTAAATTTTCTGACTTACCCTTGCAACATTGCCGTATAAGCAGACCAAATTGAATAATTTATCTGTATTCGATGTGTCGTGATCCAAACCATAAACCATCATGACAGCACCCTGGAGAGAAGGTATAATTTCCTAAAGTTAAAATCCATAAATGTATATAAACTACAAACGGCCAACGGGTTTTATTTTCAAATTGATTAATTAATTAGTTAATTAATTGCAAATATTGTGAAGAAGAAATGAAAGAGTATATTAAAATATGCAATGGTATATGTATATGCGTTTGTATGTACGATTGAATACGAATAAATACGTATAAAAAGTACTGTGATGCTAGTAAATACATACATATGCATATAGTATGAAGAAAGTATTGCAAGCGAGCGTAAGCATAAGGGTGTAATTATGTTGTATATTTAGGTCCACGCATATCGTCGTTTAAAGTACAACACCGCGTATCAACAAAAAGCAAAATCGCGTATCAAGATAATGCAAAACCGCGAATGTGAGGTTGCATAAATAATTTTCTAGAGAGTAAAAACACTCATATTTCAAAATGGTTCTCTTTTTTATAAAGCAATCGCATTTCTGACTAGTATATTTCAGGACGAATGGATGAGGATTGAGCCAAGAGCTTGTGTGAGCAAATACAATTTTTGGCAGCAAATGCCGTTACGCGGTTTTTCACAATAACGATACGCGGTTTTGTACTATAAACAACGATATGCACACTCACTTGCATTACCGATTTTCTGCCTCGTTGCTGCAGATTGTGCCAATACAAGCGTGCGAGCGCCAGTGCGTATACGCAACCCCAACAACGAGATACGCAACACGCCTGACAAAATCGACAGCAAGTGACAGTATTTTAACGTTTACAACTACATACATATGCATACTGAAATATATGCATACACATAAGAATAGTAAAGAAGTGCATTCGATGCTGCAACGACTCACCTGTCCTTGTCCCTGTGCGGCGAATGCGACCGGTGCATTGCGTCCCGGCACCACAGCTGGCTCCTTCATCAGTCCGGTCGTATGTATGGTTGCGCCCTTCCAATTCTCCGGTGTGGTGGGATGGAATTCAGCTGCGCCAAATTGTGGAAAAGCAGCACCGGGTCCCAGCAGTGGGGGCTCTTTAAATTGACAAAAATTGGTTGGTGTGGATATGAGGCCAACTAGATATTTGCAAATGTGTTTTTTTGAGTCGTTTTTGCGTTTTATTGTATTTAATAATTTTAAAAGTTTTTATTTAATAAATGTTTGCAATTGAATTTAAGATTTTTACGTGTTTGTAAAAGTAATTTATGTAGTTTTTTTTTTAATTGGGCGTGCGTTAATAGTTTTATAAAGAACAAATTTACGTTTAACATTTGGCCATGCAAAATTAATTAGGTTTTTACGGATATTTAAGTATTTAAGAGTTTGTGTGATGTTTTTGATTGAATTTTTCATTTTTTCGTGTTATTGGTTTGATGATTCGTATATTTTTTGTAGTTATCATTTGTTGGTTTTGATGCAGGACGCAAATTAACACATTTCAACAGTTCCAAAAAAAAAACAAGGAGACAATGGAAAATAAGGAAGAAAAGAAAGAAAAACGAAAAGCGCAACATTTAATGAATTGTTTGATTTGGTTAATTATATGTGAAAGGAATTTTGTATGTAAATACGCGTACTATAGGATAATAAATATTTGTGACATTTTATTAAAACAACTTAAGTGACTTGAAAAGGTTTGACTTGGATAATTTTATATTTATATTAAGCTTATATTAAAAAGGCATCTTAAACTACCCTTATGGCTAGTTAGAAGAAATATTGCGTTAAAGGCAAAATGGTCTATCTCGAGATAAATTGTTTTTATAAAAATGCCACAGATATAAATATGTACATATTTATGTCATCAATGCAAAAAGTAATAATAATATATTTTTTCCATTTATCAATAAATTTGTCAAAATTTAAAAGCGCTATATTAGCTTCTTTACAAAGGCCCTGAAAACACTTTCAGGCAATAGTAAAAAATGTTTCCTTTGTAAAAATTCAAAATTGCTATTTAGTGGCTTTTGCAAAAATGACGATTGTATATAATTTAAGATGGTACATGCACATATCGACTGCTGAGTGGCAGATCGACCTATATCGGCAGCCAGTTCGAAACCGCCCTATCTGAAAAAACTTTTTAAGAACGCCCCATTTCAGAATTCGTTTCAAAAATGTTCTATCTCTGCTGCCGATTGAAAAACGCCCTATTGCAGCACGATTTCAATACATTTTGAAGTGAGATAGGGCGTTCTTCAACCAAATTTTGCGATAGAGGGTTTTCGAACTAGCTGCCGAGATAGGTTAATCTTCCACCCAGGTGACGATATATAAATAAGAATGAGGAATATGTTACGTACAAATATAAAAACAACGAGAGCAAGGGTATACAGTGACTCAAATAAGCGTTCGCATGGGGGTTTTTTTTTAAATATGCATGTTTTTAAACTAATTTTTTTATAAAAACATTGTTCATGCTATAAAAAAAAACATAAGCATAAATCAAAGTTTCGAACTTTATACAAAACTTTGGATAAATAAAAAAATTTCGAACTTTTCTACCAATGTTTTGTTTTTTAGAAAATTTTCGGGTATGCAGTTTTCTAGCCTATAAAGTTTTAGTATTATGAATTACAAATTTCAAACGGCTAAACACTCGCGTTGTTACGAGCTTTTTTAAAATATCTTTTCGCTGATGGTTATTTGGACTTTTTTCATTAAATTTTTAATGACAATGTTGGGCATTTAAAAATACTCGTGTCATTACGTTCATAAACGTAACTTTGTATGTACATATATATTTTAAATTAAGAGAATTATAGCATAAGCTTTAAACCATCAAACAGATGACTCAATGTAGTTTAACAAACGTATTTCACTTTTAAAAATGCTAGATATTTTTCGAAAATTTTAGGGATTTTTTTCGGAATGTGCTTTATTTTGCGGGAACTTTTGAAATTTTTCGGGAAATTTGGGATTCTTCGTGTCATACATTTCGGATTTTCGGGACTTTTCTCTATTATTTCAGAATTTTTGAGGACCTATTATTGAGTTTTTGGGATATTTCGGGACTTTTTGAGTTTTTTCGATATGGCTCATCGTATTTTATTTATTTCTCGAGTTTGTGGTAAATAAAAAAAATCGGAACGTTGCGAGATACTTTGGGTATAATCCGTTTTTTGAGAAATTTCAGCGCCAAAGTTACATTTAAATCTCAATTTGGATTTTTATGAATCCCTAAATATTAACAAGTAATTTTTAAGCAAAACAGAAAACTGACTTCAATGCTCATATAAATTTTAAGACTATTGTTACTTTCTACATGATCTAATGATCGGATCTAAACCAAATTAGTATGGAAACACCTCGGAAGTACCACCATTATAGAAATCAGTTAACGTGGTCCAAAGTTATACGATAACATACATAAAAAAAAATATTTCGACGAATTGATAACCTCCTCCCTTTTTGAAGAGAAAATAATTGGTACTTCTAGCTCAAAGTAATAAAATACATAAATAAAATATACAATTTGCCACAGAATTCCTGTAATTAAGATGCATTTCTGGAATTACTGAATCCCAGGTGCCACGAAAGTAGGCTTCAGTTTCTATACCGGGTTAAATGGCGAAATTTTCGTCAACTTTTCGGACCAACCACCTCGAGATATTCTCGATAGAACTAAAATCAGCATAAGAAGCACGCCAGTCGGTGAAGGTAATGTTATTTCAATTTAAACTAGTTTTTTTGACCTACTCGTACCATTTTTCGCCTTATCCTACCAGAGTCTGAAGCCTTGCTGCAGATACAGTGACGAACAAAAGTATTGGCGCAATGAATTTTTCGCAATGTATGCAAAGTTTTTTATTTTTATTTATTTTAGATAATTTTTTATAAAAATATAGTTCATTTTACACCAAAAAACGTAAAAATAAAATCTCAAACTTTGTGCAAAACTCAGGGAAATTCATTAAATTTGCACTCTAATTTGCACTTTTTTATTTAGATTAAAAAAAATGTTTAAGGATGCAGTTTTATAATCCATTCAATTTTAGTATGACAAAATGCGAGTTTAAAGTAGCTAGAAAATTGCCTTGATTTTTGGCAATTTTTTTAGTGGAAGGTATTGCTCATTTTCTCCATAGAAAAAATTGTCGAATATACTTTGTACGGAAGAACTTGTGTGAAAAAAAAATTACCTAAAATCAGCGCGATTTTCTATAGACTTCAAACTTGCACTTTGTCATACTTGTTATGTTTGTGTGCAAATTTAATGAATTTTCCTGAGTTTTGCACAAAATTTAGAGATTTTATTATTTTGTTTTCTGGTGTAGAATGAACAAAATTTTTTTTTAAAAGTATCCAAAATAAACTAGAACAAAAAACTTTACAAATATTGCGAAAAATTCACTGTGCCAATACTTCTTATCGTCACTGTATATGTAAGGTACAAGCTGACTTTCCCCTACTGTCGAATGCCTACTAACAACACTCTGTTACAAAATAAAAAACAAATTGCACGAACGTTTTAAGTGAGCTAGTACAGATCATAGAGCTGGCCGAGTAATTCACGAAACTGTTTTCAAAACTATCCTAACACTCTCAAATTCTTAACTTATGCTTAAAAAACCCTTTTCACATGATTTTCGGCACTAAACCATTTTTAGCTCGGTTATTTATTTTTTTTTACCAAATTTTAAGTTCTTATATTGGCCTAAAAAGAAGAATGTTTGTAAATATGTGGAAAATTCTTTGAATAAATCTGAAATTTACATCGATTTTTATTATTTTCCCAATTCACCAACATTTTTTGGCAAACTTTCAAGAGGAAACAGTCTCTCTAATGTCATTACTTCGAAAAGAACATTTAAATCCGAGTTAAACTAGGAACCATTCATTAAAATGACAAAAAAAAAACATATAATTATGATACCAATTCAAAGTTTTCTTGATTTGTACTAGACGAACTACTGAAACCTCATCTCTGTTCGGAGTCGGCGTAACAAATGGCACAAATTCAAATTTTCCCAATTTACTCGAAATTTTGAGGGTGTATGAGTCAAACGGGCTCCAGATTCGGATTCAGCGGGACGAAATACACGTCGGAAGGTGGGTCTGGTTAAATGTGTGTGATGGTGTGATTGTTAATTGCTATCTACCCTACAATTATTCATATACACTGAGAAGAAAAAATCAACCAAAAATTGGCTAATATTACCAAATTCAGACTTGAAAAGGAATCAACGTGATTTTTGGTTAAGTTTAACAATGCCTTGGTTGATATTTTCAACAATGATTTGGTAATATTAATAACACTTTTGTTTACATTAACCAAGCTTTTGGTTGTCGATTTTTTTCGTTTGAATACGCTTATGTTGTGCACTTCACAGGCGTTTTTCATAATTCGGAGATACAAAAGAAAAATTGTTATTGCCATTTTAATGTGCTGCCTGACCGAATTTGAACCCGCACCATCTTCTGACAGTTAGCAAATAACAGCAAGCATCTCTGCACACTCAGCTACAGCCGCTTTAAAAATCTGCCTTCAAATCTTCAACTTGCATCAATTTTCTTCGTCGTTTGATTTGGTTCTGTACTTCACAGAGGCTTTTTCGTAATTAAGAAAACCCAAAAACAAAAAAAAACATAAAAAACTATGTGTTGCCGCTGACGGCATTCGTACTCGAGCATGCTGGGTGACAACAAATAACAGCGAGCACCTTTGCACGTTCAGCCACAGCCAGACCTACGAAGTTGTTTTCAAATGTTCAACTTAAATCACATTTCTTACAATCGGTAAACTAACCATGAAGAAACCAAACCATAACTTGGTTGAAAAAACCATTGTGCTTTTGGTTCAGTGTACAACAGATAAAGCTTCCAAAGCTTTTAATTCAAGAACGCTGATAGGATTTTATATACTTATGTAGCTTCATAAAAGCGCATCTTATGGCTTATTTTTGTGTATAAATTTTTCCAGATTTCGCCAAATGTTTTTGGTAAGGACTGCATGCCTGGTTTTTCAAATCAGCTTTCCCTCATATTAGCCAAGTACAAAGCAGCGAAGAAAGCCTTTAAAGTAGACTATATGCACAAAAACTAAGCCAATTGCTTTGGAGTTTTCTAATATTCG